ATGGCAGGGCTGTGTCAGGAAAGAGTTGTGACATAAAATCTGTGCCAAATCAAACATGTGGATCCATTTCCTGTGGTGCTCTGTTAGGGAAACAAGAAAGCAGCCAAAAGTAACTGAGTAGCTTTGCAGGATTCACAGTTCAAACTGATCTTTATTCCTTGCCCTGTGTTTACCCCCTGTCTAAAAAAGCCATTTTAGCATCTCTACCTTATAGACAGCTTTGTTTTCCTCACTTGCTTCCCCTCTCAAACAGAAGGTTTGAGATGCATTAGCCCCCCCAGTGCAACCAAGCAGCTTAGTTATCTGAAAATATAAATTCTATGACTACAAATTATCACAAAAAGTTTAAATAAAAAAAACAAACCTGCTGCTAATGGTCCAATAAAGTAATTTGAACAAAGCTCTGTCAACTTGTTTAATCTCTAAGTGGTGGATCCAGCACACCAAAGGTCACTCACACCAAAGTTTCTCTAAAAGGATCACTGATAGTGTCTCTGGTTATATAGTAACTACCATGGAACTCTGCCAGCCAGGGTTATGGAATAACCACTGCTGGTTGGAGAAGTCTATATTAGCTTTCATTTCCAAGTATGACAGAATGGGTAGATGACATAAACAAACCTACATACTAACCTGACCTCAAATCAGTCTCATAGGCTGTTAATGCAGTCTAATAACTATATTTTGTACAAAGATCAGTCTCTAACTTCCACTTAGAGACAAACTTCCTCCTTCCTGAATGTCTAAAATCACCTCACGTGCAAATGTACAGTTTCAATTCCTGTTAAAGACTTGGTAATTCCCACATAATTTTGTATATTCATAAACAGTAACATACACATGGTGGCAGTTTTGAGGAATGTGATGATATGAAAAATTCAGAGACAGCTGACTATTGTTGCTCGTTTGACTAAACTCCTAACCCCACAGAGCAAATTTGATTTAGGGGCACACTGCTCCTTTGTGCACACTGGAGACACACTTTGCTTTCTAGGTGGACTATGATTTGGTGTTTCACAGTTTTGGCACGTAGGACTGCTAAAGGATAATAAGTAGTAATAGTAGTAATACTATTATATATAGATAGTTCAAGTGTATCTGGTGATTAAAAGCTTCACATTTGACCAATTAGGTTGCCTAAAATTTATTTTAAGATGACCAGATGACCATGTTTATTTGGGACAGAACTGCATTTTTATTTTCCCAGTGCATGTGGAGGGAAAGCTTGTTATTATAATCAAATTAAGGTTAGCCTGTCTAATGCTATGCCAATCAGGGAAGTTACCAAAAAGACACAAGCTTTGCAGATTATGGTGAATATGACGGAAACTATGACACATAAAAGGATGCAGCAGTATGTAGTAATGATAAAATATGTGTGTGTCATATTCGGCTAAAACTTGCTACAATTGTTAGATATAGCTCAAAAAAGGTATGCCAAGCAATGGATAGACTATTGCAGAGATAGACTATTGCATGAGACCAAACTTGAGCTTCCTATTGTTCTTATTATATTTCCTTTACAATGGTAATGGAAAAGTTGCATTCAAATAAAATATACTTGTCTACCGCCCAGCATTGTTGACATGTCCCACTTTGTCTCAGACAAACACTGGATTTGTCCTACATTTAGTTTGTTGAGATCTGGTCACCCTAATCTCTCTTGTCACACTGACATCAACAATAGCGCTTATTGAAAGCATCTCCATTCACTCTCTGTCACATGTCTCACTATATCTTGCCAGGCAGTGATGCTGTTGGAGGAACAAGCGACTCAGAGCACAATGTGAAATGGCAACTTTTTAAGAGCAGTCAGTGAAAAAAAGATTATGTTATGTAAGTTAAAAAATTCAGGAGAATTTTTTTATGTGGATAAGAAAAAAAACAAGCTAAGAAAAAAAAACTACAGAAAATGAAGGAATAATGAGAGCCAACGTTGTGATAAACTTTGGTTCTTGATGTGGTAACCAAAAGAGAACAAAGTTCTTAATTGCAAAAAATGTACTTTTTGTCCAATGTTGTTCCTGTTTAATAAGAAGAGACAAACAGAGAAGTGTGGAAGAGAAACACAGCCGCTCAGGAGAGGAAGAGAAAAATGCAGCTTATCAGCAGTAGATTTGCAGTGGTATGTCAGGAAAGACATCTATGAATGAGATATGGTATGCGGTAGTTTGTATTCACGTTAGCACTTTTTAACTTTCCCATCAGCTGCAAAATTTAACTCACTTCCAGAAATGGTGGCACGCTGTATAAAATGTAAATAAAAAACAGAATGCAATGATTTTCGAGGATCATAAACTGATATTTTATTTGCAATAGAACCTAGAAAAATGTTTAAACTGAGAAAATGTAACATTTTAAAGGAAAAATAAGGCCACTTTGAATTTGATGGCAGCAACATGTCTCAAAAAAGTTGCGACAGGACTGTGTTTACCCTTCATAGCATCACCTCTTCTTTTAACAACAGTCCAGAAATGCCTGGAAACTTAGAAGACCAGCTGCTGGACTTTTGGGAGAGGAAAGCTGTCCCATTCCTGTGTGACACAGGATTCTAGCTGCTCAACAGTCCTGGGTTCTTTGTCATATTTTTGTTTCATGCTGCATCACATGTTGTCAACTGATAACATACTGGGACTGCAGGCAGACCAGTTTAGCCTGTTAAGCCTGCCTACAGTTCTACAGTGAAGCCCTGCTGCTAGAGTATGCAGTTTAGCATTGTCTTGGTAAAAGATGCAAATAAAACAACATCATCTGGGTGGGTCCATATATTGCTCTACCTGTACATAGTTTTCAGCATCGATTGGGGAAAGCACTAATTGTGTGGGACAGTGCTGAGAGTTGTCCATATCTAACTTAACAATTAAAACGGCATATCTTACTGAATTGTTTTTTAACACATAAATAGGGATATCTGGTCACTCTGATAGCATCAGAGATGCAGGTTTTTTGGAAGGTTGATAAGCTGGATGGTGACTCGTTGCTTCAGTTTAGATTTGGCGTCCATGTTTTCCAAAATGAATTTTATTATTATTTTTTCCACCTGATCAGTTTTCCAGTTTGCCTCAGTCCATTTTAAAGAGGCTTTGGCCCAGAAAAAGTGGTGGTGTTCTGGATGTTCAAATATGGGTACTTCTTTGTACAGAAGACCTTTAACCTGCATTTGTGGATGGCATGGAGAACTGTGTTCACAGACACTGAGTTCTTGAAGGATTCCTGAGCCCATGCAGTGATTTCCATGACAGAATCATGGCTTTTTAATGCAGTTCTGTCTGAGCACCTGAAGGTCACAGACATCCAACACTGATTTTTGAACTTGTCCATTGCCTACATAGATTTCTCCATATTCTCAGAGCCCTTTGATGATATTAAATGATGTAATTGTAAATGATGAGCTAGTAAAAGTCTTCACTCTTCCTCTCTAAGATGCTTTTTTTAAAATACCCAATAATACTGGGTATTACACTAGGTAGTACTGACCTGCTAACAGTTAACCTAATTAGCTGTGAAATGTTCCTTCTACTTCACTTACTTTTTCAGCCTTGTGTCCCAACTTTCTTCAGATGTGTTAGTAATGTGTTAGTTTAAACAGTTGTTTCATATTTTACAGTGAATAAAATTTGGTTTATGAGATATACGAATCATTGCATTTGTTTTAA